TGAGTTTATTGAGGCGATCATCATGCTGCTCGACCAGCACAAGGAGGACTATGGCGACATGAAGCGGAGGCTGGATGGTATGAAGGTAAGTCGGCTCGGTTCGGATATACGGCTCGACGTGGTGCCAGATATTTACCCCATTTTTCCTGCAGCGCGCGAGCCAGCAGTACGTGGACGGGCTTTCGGTGGCGCAGACCGAGTACGACAGAGAGCTTAAAGCCAGGAGAGATGCTGAAGCGGAAGTTACTCGTCTGAGGGTCTTGCTTTCTGGACAGGCCGTGCGTCTGACTGCAGTCTTGGGAGAGACGAAGCGTCAAGAAGCGCAAAAGCAGCTCTCGGAGAAACTGGCTGAGAGTCTGTCTTCTTTGGAAAAGGACTTAGCGAAGCTCCAGGTTGAGCGCGACATGACGTTGGCAGAGGTGGAGGAGTTGTCGGCGAGCAAGAGGTGAGTTCTTGTTGACCTGCTTTCTCTGCGCAAGGCAAACGTTTCCGCTTCCAGTTCGCCTACGCTTCCCGATGACGGAGATACTGCTAGTCACATAAGCCGCGCACTGTCGGTCCGCTTCGACAGCATCAAAGTGCAATACCAGCACGAGCTGCTACCACTCACTGCACAGAAGGAGTCTCTCATCAGAGAGATTGCCGAACTACGCGCCGCACGGGATTCGTTCCTCGAAGAGGCGACAATACTGAACGCCCGGAACGAGGAGTTGGCACAGCTGAGCACACAGTACGTCCGTCGGGTAGACTCTGGGGTAGAGCTGGATAGGCGGGGAGACTCGTTGGATAAGGCACGACCGCCCAATTTGAATGCTTCTGTAACCTCCTCGACCCTCGCTTCATCCGAAGAATCCGGTGACAAATTCATCAAAATCTCAAAGCCCGAGCTTGTGGATGCTCCCGCTCCCCAAGCCAACACGCGGAAGGTGTTTAAGTGGCCCGGCTCGCGCCCCCAGCCGCCGAAGGACGTTCCCGTAACGAATGACGTGAACAAGGCCAAGGCTCGCGTAGAGCATACCTTCCAGCAAATCAGCATGCTGCGTGTGTCCCGCTGCGATCATTGTGGAGACAAGATGTGGGGATCACAACTTCGGTGCTCGGGTAAGTGGCGCGGTTGTTCTGGCAATCCATGGTTCTGAAATGTGACGTCGGTGTGACTAGCTTGCAGCATCGCCGTGCATGTTCGGTGTGTGCATCAGGTGCATGTTGCGTGTTCTCAGCAAACGTCCCAAGGGAGGGAAGAAGCGCCTCCGGCTCCTGTTGGTCAGTGTAATTCGAAATTGCGAACGTGATACGTTTACTGAACGGTGGAATCTAGGTCCTTCACTGTTCGGTCGTGACCTTACAGAGCAAGTCAAGGCCGACTCCAAGGACGAGCCTCGGAGTATACCTGTGATCGTCGAGAAGTGTATCGGTGCCGTAGATGCCCTCGGTGAGCGAAGCCCATCTTGACCCGTCGACCACCCTGCTCACATCTTTCATTACAGCGCTGGACTACGAGGGCATCTACCGCAAGACCGGCGGCTCGGGCCAGTCGAAGATGATCACCCAGCTGTTCGAGCGCGGCGACTACTCCTTCGACCTGCTCGACTCGGACCGCTTCAACGACGTCTGCAGCATCACGTCCGTGCTCAAGACGTACTTCCGGTCGCTCCCCGACCCGCTGCTCACGTACGCGCTGCACGACAAGTTCATCGCGGCGGCGACGGTGAAGGAGCCGGAGGTGAAGGGCAAGATGCTGACGGAGCTCGTTGCGGAGCTGCCGAAGGAGCACTATGAGACGACGAGAGCGCTCATGCTGCATCTGCATCGGTACGTTGAGATATACAGTGAGCATCTGGGCCACGACTGACGTCGTTTCAAGCATTTGCGAGCAGAGCGAGGTCAACCTCATGCACGCGCGGAATCTCGGTGTCGTGTTCGGCCGTACGTCCGTTACCTCTCGTGAATTCCTAATCGCTGATGTCTATGCCCCGCAGCTACGCTCATGCGCTCGCGGGACCCCAACGCCGAGTTCGCCGACATGGCGGGGAAAGCCCTCACCATCGAGTGGCTCGTCGAGAACGCGCAGGCCCTCTTCGGCGAGCCGGACGCGCCGCAGCCCGAGAAAGAAAAGGAACACTCGAGCCCGTGAGCGCCCGAGCTCTGTACATTCGTGCATTCGTGCATTCTTGTTTATCGTCTCCTCCTCCGGGTCTCGCGCGTGGTCTTGTATACGAGGTATCTATGGACAGCTGTGTATGAGGTATTACTATCACTAGACTCTCCGCCCCTTCCGCCCCCTTCCCCTATGACCCGCCTCTTGTGGGACGCCCTTCGCTATTCGCTTCTCTTCGTCTTTGTCTTCAGCTGGCAACCGCCTTCGTTCGCGCGGCTGCAGTCACTGTCGTTCACACCTGTTGTTCGCCCTTTTTCTTCGTTGCACGCTGTGGCATGTGCGCTTGCTTCGTCTTTCGTCTCCCGCGCTCCCTCCTTCGCCTCACACTTTATGGGCTCCCGCACCCGAGGCCGTCTTCATATATATCATATACCCCGCCCAGGTCATGGATATGTATCTTACGCATCCAGTACATTAGATCAATACGTAACACACACCAGCTTCCCAAATTCTCGGATCGAATTCTCGAGCCAACCAAACCAAACCGACGTGTGGGCGGGCAGCGTCGGACGGAGTTCGAGGAGGTATGTACGGTATACTGTAACTGCGTGTAATAGGAGTACAACAAGGTATCATGTCCGAGACGCACGAGAATGATAAACGGCGGAGCACCCGGGAAGTTGGATATCAGGATATACAGGTATCATCGGACAACGACAAGTGAGCATCGGCGGCGGAAAGGTATCGAATCTAGATGCTCGAGGAAGCAATGGGTGGCAAGGAGCGGGGAGCGAGTCGCGGTCTCAGTACTCTCTGGACTTCCTGAGTTTGGGCGCCGTCTCCGCCTTGAGGGTACAGTACAGGAAGTGGCGCCTCGGGCCGGTCGACGCACCCGCGACGGCGGCGACGCGCGCGCCGACGGGCAGCGGCGGGCCCTGTGCGTCCGTGCCGCTGCCGCGTATGCCCAGGGAAAACATGCGGTCGAAGACTGCCGGGTGCGCGTCATGTTAGTCAGTACGCGAATACTACACTTGGGAACGAGATCGGGAACAGAGGGAGAGGGAGAGGGTGGAGGAGGCTTACGCGTGGCGGTGAACGCCTTCGCCGTGGTTTGGCAGCTGAGGTGCGTCAGAGAGAGGGGCGGAGAGACAGCCTCGAGCGTGCGGAGGTAGCGGAACACGATGGAGGGCTGGCAAGGGCCTGTTTGTCATACGATCACACAGCACAGCAGGTTGAGTGACAGTTAGTGGGTGGAAATTAGACCTGGCTCACCGAAGCGGAAGACAGCCTGGTAGGCCAGGCGCCACTTCTCGTCGAGGAGGCGTGCGCATGTGGGCGGGTCGGGGCACGAGGCGCACTGTGTGTAGCGGGAGAATTAGTATTGGTCATTGGAGAGTACGACGTGAGATGCGAGAGGAGAGAGGACGATGAGGTCATCGGGCACGTACGCATTGGTATTCTTTGGCAATCTGAGTGAGCCCGAGCTTGAGAACGCGCTCCAGAAACCACGTCCGCCTACGACAATTCCAATCAGATCAACCCCACTACCAGACAGCCGCAGCGTATCGCGCTCGCGCTCACCGTTTCTCCAGTTTGAGGAGCGTCTCGGGGCTGAGCGTGCTCAGTTCCTCCTCGCTCCAGCCGCCGGGGTTGTCGAGCACGAAGCGGCTGCTCTCGCGGTAGAGCTCCTCCTCCTCGAAGAGCTCCGCGATGCGCATCGCCTTGATGGGCCGCCCCGCGGCGTGCGTGAGCAGGAACTCCATGCATTGCCGCTGCAGCTCGGGCACGGTGAGCTTGTGTGAGATGTTCATGAGGCCTTCGACGTTGTTCCAGGTGATTGTGCAGACGAGGCTGGAAAGCCGATGTATGTTAATCATTCGCAGAGTAAGCATATACGCTTTCTTACTGAGGGTATATGTGCTTGAGGAAGTCGTGGAAAGTGCTTGCCTACACTCCTTGCTTGTCAGAGGCTGTAAACTGCGTATGCTTTCGGTTACGCTACCTTTTCTTCCTTGAGGACGATGACGGCATCCGGGCCCTTCGCCTTTGTCCGTCTCAAGGTCCTGTGTTTCGGGGGCTTGTTGACGATAGCAGCTGCTGTTGACTCTGATACCTTCTGCTGTTCGGCGAACTTTACGGAGTCCGTAGGGCTAGTCACACTCTGCAGCTTGTCCAAGCTTTCCTTGCGCGCGCGGTCCTTCTCGACGTCACTGACATCGCTCTCGCTCGTGTCCCCTGGGATATCCACATCGGACTCGTCGGGCTCAAATTCCAAGATCTCTCGCGTGAAGGTGGTTTCGGTGCGCTCGGAGGCAGACCCAGCACCGGGGACGGACGGGGGCTGTGAGATGGTAATGACTGAGGACGTCGACTGCGGTCGTCCTGGACCTGTTTCTGCCCAGTCACCGCTCAATGCAGCCTGGAAGAAGGGCGAGGCAAAGTAGAGGACCTCCTTGTGCGCCCTAGGATACGCGTATCAGAGAAGCAGGCGCGGTCTCGCGAGCGGCCCTCCTCACCAAAAGGTGGTGTTCTCGACGATGATCTTGACGTTGCCGGGGAACTTGGCGCTTTTGGTGAACGTGGGGTCCATGTCGATGGTGTCGACGAACTCGTCGCTGCTGAGCTCAGAGACGGACTCGTCGGTCTCGCAGCCCTCGAGGTAGAGCGGGGGCGAGCCCGAGGAGCGGAAGATGCCTGCGGCGGCGGCATGGGTTTCTGTGGGCGAGCTGAGGGACGCGGAGGGGTTGTTAGGCCCGCGGGAGTTGCGGGCGATGAGGATGTGGCTCGGGTTCACGGACATGGTCGTTCGCATTGCGGACCTGCCTCTACTCCGAGTTTGGGGTCAAGGTCAAGCGGTCGCCAGTGCAACCCGCTTGGAAAAGAGTAACTGACCTTGCATATCGGCCTTGTAGTGTAATGGTCATCACATGAGATTCTGATTCTCAAGACCTAGGTTCGATTCCTAGCTAGGCCTCTATCTCTAAGCACTGAGTCTTTTTGTCGCGACGATTATCTGGACTTTTGTTTTATGGATAACAAACACGGACCCGGTACTGGCTGTTCGTGACTACCGCTATCATAACGCTAATCATCCCTAGCACTGCAAACTTTTTAATTTGTTCATACGCCTGCGATGCAGGCTCCCCTAGTACCCATCCCGCCGGGCTTCGGTAAGATCGAGCTTCGGTCCGGCATTGGCCATGCCACATTGTCCCAACTCGTATCCTCCTATCCACTCAAGCTGCTTTCCCCTCGCATACCGTATCCGATAGTCGCCGTCGTCTACGTTCTCACATACGGTGGCGGCTTGGTTGCAGGGGACCATGTCTCTCTTGACGCGAGCGTGCACGATGGAACCATACTTGTTCTCCTCACACAGGTCTATTCTCCATCCCAAGCTTTGTTCACCCAGTCGCTTATCACTTCGAATACACAGGGTTCCACCAAGGTCTTCAAGACTCGTCCGAGAGGCCGGCAGGCACGACCCTCGGTCTCAGGCTCACCGCACGCGTCGATAGACCCAAGCATAACATCCCAGACACTCGACGTTCGCGTCGAGCCCGACAGCGCGCTCTTCCTCCTCCCCGACCCCGTCAGCTGCTTCCGCGCCGCATCCTACACACAACGGCAGACGGTCCATCTCGCCGACCCCTCTGCGTCGACCGTGCTCCTCGACTGGGTCACCGCAGGCCGCGCCGCGCTCGGGGAGGCGTGGTCGTTCGCGCGGTACTACAGCCTGAACGAGCTGTTTGTCGGAGGGCGGCGCGTCGCGCGCGATGCGCTGCTCCTAGAGGAGTACGACCCGCCGTCGCATGCCATGGACGGACTCCGGGAGCGCACGCTCGCTGACCGTCTTGCACCGTACGCCTGCTACGCGACCGCTATCTTATACGGCCCGCACACGGACGCCACGCGTCGAGCGCTGCAGGGCGAGTTTGAGAAGGACGTGGTGTTCCGTCGCTCGCGCCCCCCGGAGCTTGTTTGGTCGTTCACGGCCTTGGACGGCGGGAAGGGTGGAATTTTGCGCGTCGCTGCTGTGGAGACGGAATCCGTGAGGGACTGGTTGAAGATCAGATTGAAGGGTTTAGCAGAGGTCGTCGGGCAGGATGTATACAAGAACGCCTTCGGGTAAGGTTCGACTCAGATTGGGTTGCGGGGGGTCCTTGTGAGTTTGTGGTTGACTCATATTCAAGTCTGGATTTCAATGAAGCCTGTACTGAAAACCATTGCTTGAGCGATCCCACTTTGATGGCTTTCGAATAGTAGAATCTCCGCAGAGTACGCTGTGGCAAGCTTGGAGATCAGGGACAAGTCGAGTTATCTTTGACGCTTAGATTAACGTAAAAGTCAATCTAGACGCCTATGAGATCAAGGCAAGCCAGTTGGTGAACATGGATTTCGATGTCGACCACGACGATGCTGACGATGATGGCTGGCCGTCAGCAGGGATGGAGGTCAGCCATGGTCACAGTGCATAAGTCTTGCTCACCTGTTGTCGTTTCATTCCTCACCAGCTCTTTCCGCAACCACCACATACCTCGACAAGCAACACTCCTCAAATCTCACAACCTCCATCCACCATGTATTCTATCGTCTTCATTCAACCCACCGCAGAGGTATACAGAGCTTGGACCGTCCCACACTATTGTGCGGACGAAATTGCGGACTGCAGGGACCGACAAGCAGGCGTCAAGGTACGCCTTCGACCTTAGCCCGTCTGTATTCCATCAGTAACTGACCGACGCTTAGGAACAGGGCATGCACAAAGCGGTGGTTCTCCCCACCCATTCCAGGCGCGCTCCTGTTCTCGGGGCAGAGCACGTTCTTGCCTCGGTTCCCGCCGCACGCCTGTGTTTCTTCCGCGAGCCTGTTAGCACCGAACGGAGCGATAGCGACATACAGGACAAGGGCAAGCCACAGGCTCTGGTTAAGTATGTTCCCCCAGCGCTTGAAGTCTTTAGAGTGCGGACGCTGTTGGAGGGAATCACCCCAGCTGTGCTAGAGAGGGCGGTAGCCTTAGTCGATGTGGTGAAGGATGACATGCCAGAAGAGATCGCGGAGGAAGAACAAGTCCAAGATGCGTCGGAAACCTACGATCTAGAGGTCTTCCGCGCCCTGTTCTATCCTCCCAGCTTTCTTTACACGGTATTTGAGGACTTCAGGACCCAAGCTCGGGAGGCACTCGTCCTGAGCATAGTGGATCCTGTCACAAAATCAGTCCTCGCCCCCGTCCCGGTCGATCTCGTTCTCTTAATCGCTGAGAAGGTTGTTGCCTGTCGGTCCAGCGTCACGGAGGCTGTCGATGTCCTTCCCTCTACCGTCAACGAGTCGGCGGCCTCGTCTCCGCCTTCGTCCGCGACTACCCTCATTACCCGTCTTTCCATCAGCCCTTCTTCAACTCCTTCCACCTCTTCCAGGCCAAGGACGACTGTGATGACGCCGTTCCCAAGCGCAGTCAACGAGGAAGAAGACTCGGATAAGGAGAACGTCGGCCTCGCGACACCGTCTCCCACCCCGGCGCGCTCACAGGAAAGGGCCCGCCCACGCGTCCTCATGCCCTTCGTCAATCGTCTGGTCGGGCAGCAGCAATCATCCAACGCGCGCATTCCACTCACAGGGCAAGCCGCCACTCCGAGCCCTCGTCCGCGGTCCGGCCGCAAGGGCAAGAAGAACGGCAAGAACGCCCCGCGCACACCTCTGGCCCCTGTGTCTACTCCGCAGCGCTCGACGACGCTCGTGACGCCCTCGCCGACGCCCTCGCCCTCGCCTGCGTCTTCGTCTACGTGTCCTACGCCGACGTCGACGCCTCTTGGAGGCAAGGGCAACGCTGCTTGCGGAGGGAGCGAGAAGCACTGGCGCAGGCGCCGCTCGAAGAAGGCGTCCCCCCTCGGTGACAACGGCAACGCCACCGCCACCCCCGCGCAACCCAAGCCTTTGGCGCAGTGAATGCGGTGCACCGCTCGCGCCTCTACCGTTCCCCCGCTGCTCCTTTCCCGCGTTTCTGGAATCTGGCTTATCTAGTCCCTGGTTCATCGGCTTGTGTCTCTGTCTCTGTCTGTCTCTCGTCACTTGGTCTTCTGGTCTTCGGTCTTTTGGTCCTGCCGTATGGCTCTTCTCCTGCCTCTGGCCTGGCACAGAATCTCCGCGCTCGCACTTCCTGCCGACACTGTCTTGCTCCTCTTCCGATTTTCGACGGCTCCGACTCCAAAGCTGAAGATTTCCCTCGCCACTGGTTTTTTTCTCGGCTCATCGATATCCTACTCGTCGACATCCGACCTGGTCCAACCTTGGTACTGAACTTCTTATCCCCGTTCTTCGTTTCTTGCCGTCATGGCATACAAGCTGCCTTCTGCTAATGTTTACTCGCCGCTCCCCCATTACCCGCACCTACCACTTTACAACTTCGCTATGCACCACTAGCTGGGACGTATCGCCCCCAACCCTTCGCTTCCAAGACTTCCGCATACTCCGATCGAAGTCCGCCTGTTCTTGCGGGCTTCAGTTCCCCTCTGCCGGGTGGTCATTGACCGCCGCATTAACATCACGTGGAGAACGTACGTGTCGTTTTATTTTTTGTAGAGTTGATACTGACGCTTTCTTGCCCTCGCCGTCGTTTTAGCTGTTATCGGTAGTCCGGATATGTCTTGTGTAGCAGGAGAGTCTCATGTCAACGTCGAGGCTCTTCTTAGGGTTTCTGGTCTTCACAGTTCTTGAGGATCAATAGATCGTTCGCGCTGCGGTGTGGTCATCTTGGTGCGTATCCCCTTACATGCAAACAGATTCGCTCTCATCTTTGCCCTCGGAAGACCATTTTACAAATTCCTTTTTCACCACTATTCCCACCTATCGGCGACTACATTACTTGTGGCACTTACGATCTTCCACTGACGGCGAAACAAGAACAAGATGCGACGTACCTTTCGGTCTCTTGTCCCTTTCCACGATAACGGATATAGTTGTAACTCAAGACGAAAACAAGCGACGTTGACGACCTTTGGCTTTGGCTCTCGGACTCTCGAACTTTGGAATTTGACTGGACAGCCTTGACGGCGACGTGCTGGTTCGAACGCCTGGGCTCGTGCTAGAAGGCCGGACTCTCCATACCTTGCCCGCAAGATTGAAGACTTGAAACAAGTGACTACGACATGGACTCTGACTTTGACTATGGCCCAAGCTAGATTCAACATGAAACGGAGCAGCACTGGTGTAGAGGCTCGACATTCACTGGACGCTCGGTTACTTTTGTCCTCAAGGCTTCGCGCACATGGCCGGCTTTTCATCTTTGCATTCGAACTTATCATCTATTCATATCTCACTAGACATAGACCAATACGCACTCACATATGGCATCATACTTGCAGCAGATTCGTGACAAGCGTTTCGGAATTGCATTAGATCAGGACAATTAACGACAGCAACATCTTACATAGCATGTATTCAAATATCTCAAGTACATTCTACCCCAATTAACATACGTCTTCCATGGTGCAAACTCCGTGACGGTTGCTGTGTCTGACAAGATACCTAGCGGCGGTTCCACTATTACCGCATGGCAATGACGGGCGTCAATGAGGCGAAGGCAGCGTAAGATTTCAATCTTGCGCGTCTGTCGCTCCTTCTTGCACCCCTTCCACGAGGACGACAAATGTCGGGCGGCACAAAGGCTTGGCCACTGTTTGTAACTTTGGTCGCATCCTAGGATCCTATTCTCCTGGTATTTCATACGCTGATCCGCACTGTCAGATTCGCCCTCGCAGCTTTGTAGTTTGGGACCGGAGCTTGGGCCCGCTGCTGTTAGACGTTGCCTTTGACTGAAGAACGCCTACCCAAAGCAGATTTTTCTGTAGTCTCTGGTCGACGACATGGATCGCTTGAAAGCCATCGAGCTGTTTAAAGCGACGTAGTGGCACAAATGGGCCTGAGAAAGGTACAATGTCGACCACGGGAGCAAACCGGCAGTCGCTGTGAGGTGAG